CTTCCTTGGTCAGAGAGTTTTAGAGACTACATCCACTCTCTCCTCAAGGGTTTCTGGGAATGGAACTAAAATGGTCTACATAAAAGAGAGGGCGCTGTGTAATTATACCCAATGAGACCATCATTCTGAGACATTTCAGATTCTTCACAAGTGCCAGTTCTCATCAACTGTGGTGTGATTTGTCTCAGCTACTATACCTTAGGACAGTCCCACAGCAGCCTGCCTCCCTGACCTCAGGGAAAAATCAACACAGACCCACAGCTCGCTGACATACTGCTGCCATCAGGACAGGAACTGCACACTGTGTGACTCAGTGAACTCAGTCCTCAGAGCTCTGAAAATAAAGGGATTTTCCTTTCTCATGCACCACCCCTTTTCCATCCCGCTCTGTGTCCTGTGAACACTAATCCCAGAAGTCTGAGTCCTTAGAAAACATATTTTTAGCTTCAGAAAGGTGATCCACCTATTGATCACTTTGTTCTGGGGTAGAAATATTTTAGTATCTCAAACACATCTACCATTTCAGAACTGCAGAATATCCACTGTTGGAAGGGACCGATGAGGATTATCAAGTCCAACTTCTAAGTAACACAACTGCCCTGTTCCTCTACGTATTCCTGACAGGTATTTGAAGTGAAGAAAACAACCAGCGACCCCTCCCACAATACAGAAGGAGGCTGACATAGTGCTCATTGCTTTGTGGGAAGCACTCTGGGAAAAGTCAAAAAGCATTTTCTATCTCACACACAAGAGGCAGAGGGCATTGGGAACTGTCACCATTGCCTTTATCTAACATTGTGTTCCACGGGAACAAGCAAAGAGATGTGAATACATGTGCCTTTTCTCTCCTGACTGGGCATCTGATGTTCTGTTTCAGGGCAGCCCAGGAGAGGACACCACAGGGACATCCATTAAATCCAATCTGTACATTCACATGGTCATTTATGGCCTCATTGTCAGAAGGACCTAAAGTCCCAATCTGTGAGGCTGTTCTCTCAGTGATTTCTTTTGCTAGTTTGAAATATCTTAGAAGAAAATAAAAGTTTAAGTGGGTTCAAAAGAAAATAAACAGATTTCCCCATAAGCAAATATGTTCCAGGTAGCAATAGTGCATTTTGCCTGCATATCCCCAAAGCAGCAGTCAGTGTGCTGTGAAGATTGTGGAATCATTTGAGTCAGAAGAGACCCTTAAAGGTCATCAGTTCAGTTCCTCTACAATGAGCAGGGACGCCTACATCTACATCAGATTCTGAGAGCTCCTCCAGCCTGACCATGAACATCTTCAAGGAGCAACCAGCATCTCTTTGGGCAGTTTGTGCCAGTGCCTCATCACCCATATTGTAAAAAACTTCTTCCTTATATTCAATCTAAATATCTCCTCTTTTAGTTTGAAACCATTTCCCTGTGTCCTAACAAAACAGACCCTGCTAAAGAGTCTGTCTTTTCTTATAGCTCCCATTTAGATATTGAAAGGCCACTCTCAGGTCTCCCCAGGGCCTTCTCCGGGCTTAACAGCCCCAGCTCCCTCAACACTGTCCTCATAGGAAAGGTGTTCTCTCCTTCAGATAATTTTTGTGGCCCTCCTCTAGACACACTCTAACAGGTCTACATCTCTCCTGCACTGAGAATTCCACATCCAGATGCAGTACTCCAGGTGAAGTATCACCAGCACAGAGCAGAGGGGCAGGATCACCTCCCTCTCCCTGCAGACCACACTTCTTTCATGCCCATGACGTGGCTGGCTTTCTGGGTTGTGAGGGCAACGTTGCTGGCTCATGAGAAGCTTGCCATCCACCAGTACCCTCGAGTCCTTTTTGGCTGCACTCTATCCTTACATCCTCCAGCTTGCACTGATAGTGAGGGTTACCACAACCCACATGCAATACCTGGCACTTAGCTTTATTGAACCCCATGAGGTTCACCTGGGCTCACTGCTTGAGCCTGTCCATATCTCTCTGGATGGCATTCTCTCCCTCAGGCACGTCAACTGCACCACACAGCTTGGATTCACCTGTAAACTTGCTGAGTGCAATTGATCCAAAGAAAATCCACAAATACTCTTCTGACTGGGCTGAGAAAGAGCCATCCTGGAGGGGTCTCATCTTCCAGACCTGCAGGCATCACATGCACTGCTCTGCTTTCTCCATGCTGGAGGTATGGTATCCATCAGGCAGGGCATGTTCAAGAACACTAGGATTGGACTGAAGAAAAGAAGAAATATGTATCAAATGGGAGAAGGGAAACTTCAAGAATCATATTGAAGTGTTGCAGAAAAAGTGTAGTCTTGACCATACAGAGAATGAAATAGAGCATAACAGACTACAGCAAAGGATAATATTGGCTTGAAAGAATTATGAAGTTGCTGATTTCTGACCTACACAAAGAAAACATAGCAAATCATACTGACAGCTAAAATGTGGATTCTTATCTCTATGGATGATTCAGCCCAAGTGAGGTAAATGAGGTGTCAGAAGGAAATGAGGAGGACTGAGGTTCTGAGAGGAAAACACCTCACATCCATGTCCCATCCCTTTAAAACAAACACATTACAGCCTGTAATCAAATTAGGAGACCTTTAAGCAACAAAAACGTTACCTTCTGGCATTACCAAAGTTCCACATTGGTGTTATCTGCAGCCAGTGGTGGCACCCAGAGCCCTGCTCTTTCTCAGCAAGTCCACACATGATGTCAGGGCACAAAGTGCACCATCTCCAAAAACTTGGGCTTTTTTTCCTCCTCTTCCCTTTGCTTTCTGCAGCCCTTGCAGATATAAAGAGGTTTCAGCCATTCACTGGGCAAAGCAGCGTGGGGGGAGCAGTGAGCAGCACTGGATGTGGCAAGCAGCTGATGGGACAGCACTGAATACAGCAGCAGTTGGTGCTGCAGCAGCCCCAAATCCACGCTCCGTTAGCACTAGGCACAGCTCAATCCTCTTCCCCATTCTGGTTCAGCACAGGGCCAACACATCTTTTCTGCAGCCAACAGAGGAGTAGAGTGGATTTCCTCCAGGAATCTTCACAGTAAAGTGACTGCTGCTTTGGGATCTGCAGACAAAGCACACTCCAGGCAGCTAGAGGGCATTACTCCATGAGCTCCTCAGCCAAAAGGGAAGCAGTCAGGATAAATATTCCTGTACAGAATAAGAACAGGAACTTTCTCCACAAGGCTGTTTCCACCCCTTTCCATTAAAATTTAAAATAACCTGCTTAGGAACCTTAGGGAACCTGCTTTGGCAGGGGGGGTTGGTCTCAATCTCTAGAGGTCCTTTCCAACCCCTACAATTCTGTGATTCTGTGAAACCCTGTGGAGGAAATCTGGGTGTCTTTTTTTGTTTTGTTTTGTTTTTTGTTTGTTTGTTTGTTTTGCATACTTAAAAACAAACAAAAAACCTCTCATATTACTTTCTGATCATCAGTGGTACCTTACTCTGGGTGCCTAAGAAAAGCTCTTAAAGCCTGGTGAAATCTACTTGGGTTCAACAAAGGAGCCCCATGTTGTCACTTACGAAGAGGGTGGTGAGGCACTAACACAGGTTACACAGAGAGGTATTGGAAGCCCCGTCCCTGGAAACACTCAAGCTGGAGATGTTTTGAGCACCTGATGTCACTGTAGGTTCCCTAATCATTGCAGGGGAATTGAGACAGACAGCCTTTAAGGATCCTTCCCAACTCAAATGATTCTATAGTTCTACAATTTAAGTTACTGCTATGACTTCAGTGTTACTTTGCTTGATCTTCATACTAACTTAGAACCTTACCCAAAAGAAAAAAGTTTACTGATGATTTCCCCTTAAGTAAGTTGCATTGTTTCACAGCACGCCAGTCTGTTTTCTCCTTGGACATGCCTCCAAAGCCAATGGCTGCTCCCATCACCCAGAACTCCTTCCCGTGATCCATTCTCTATTTATTTGTAACACTTTCCTAACAGTTACCGTAGAGCAGTGAAAAAAATTGAGAGAACATTTTGTGAAATTGGTCAAAATGGTGTCAGCCAGAAGAATGTTGTGAATTGTGCTATCTTAATGCTACTAATTGAAACTTAACATCAGTAAGCCCAGGAAGTAAGCTTAGTTTTAACAGCATGCTCAGTCACAACTTGGTCAAGTGTCTCAGGGGCAGCCATATGCCAGGAGCAGACCTAGAAGACACCAAAACAGGAGCAGTGTGAACATTGTAGCTCTCTTCTGGCTGTATACTGTTTTTCTCTCACCCAGCACTCTAATGGATTATGAAGGCTTCTGTAAGCATCAAAGTTGATGTCAATGTTCAACACAACATAAAGCTCTGCACAGCTCCTGTGCTCACATAGGACTTATTGAGGGAAGTCACATCCTACAAGGAACAGCAGTGGTTCTCCTAGGTAGAAATAAACACATTCATGCCACTTCACACATTCATCGAGGCAGTGGTGTGGGATTTCTTCTTATGATTTAGACATTGTTTTGTTCCTATTAGTTCTGATAGCAGCTCTTCTACTCAAAATGTGTCTGTAAAGTTAAAGCCAGTGACAGCACAGAGTACCTCATGGATGTCACGGCTGTGTTGGGTTGCGTTTGCCCTGCAGGCCTCCTCTCCAACATGGAAGGCTGCAATCTGAAATCAGTATCTGTCAATGTTAAGAATTAACACAAGATATCACATCTCTCAGATCGAGTTCATAAGATGTCCACCCAGCAGCAGCCAGAGTTCTGTTAGCACGGCGAACTCAGGATGCAACGAGAGATGGCTCAGAGGGACTCATCTGGGAAAACTTAGGAGAAGCTGTATGACCTCAGACAGTCCAGATTTTTTGTGAACTTCTGGTGTGTCCTACATCTTGTTGCTCATATATACAAATACACATGGAAGACATGTGAGGAGCGCTGAGGTCCATGGTTTGCTCAGCCCAGAGGACTGTCACGATAGCACTGTGACAACGCAATGCTCAGCCAACTCCGGACAGGAGAGGGAAGGTGTCACGGTCCCACGGAGGTTCCACAGCAAAATACCATCAGCAGCTGAACTGTGGGTCCCATCTCTGCCAACAGACGTCCTTGCCACGTCCATCCCAGCATCACCCTACCCAGCAGCCCTTCAGTGTCCTGAGGAGCCACTACCCAAAGCGGAACTTAAGCCGGTAGCGGCCAGGACCGGGGCTGTGCCGTGACGTGGCCATCTTCTTGGGCGGCGGTGGTGGTGGGGGTGGCGGCTTCTTCTCAGGGCGGGCGACGGTGAAAGCCAGCTGGGATGGAGGGGGCTGCCGGAAGCGGGGCAAGAAGTGTGTGGAGACATGCTGGGGACGGGCACGAGGGCTGCAACCCCTCTTGGCCTTGCCCCGCTTGTTGAGGGCCACATACCACTGGCGGCCAGAGCGCTGCCCATGGTGCACGGCCGAGGCATAGGTGTTGTAGCTGTTCTCCTGGAAGCGCTCACGGAACTGGCACTCAGCAGTGAAGCGCGCCTGCAAGCAGAGACAGAAATTAGCTGGGGAGCTGCCCACACCCACACCCACTGCCCATAGCACAGTGCTTGTTCTCCCAAACTGTTGCTCTGAAACTGGTGAGGGATGCACGGGGAACATCCTGGAGTCCAGCAAACCTCCACCATTCCTAATACCTCCCTGTGCAAACTGGGACTCTGGAGGAAAATCCTTCCCCAGAACTGGGATCGTGTTGCAGTATACTTACCCAGCAGATTTTTCCCTGTGTAACACCTGGAATCAAATCTTCCAGTCTCTGCCTGGAAGACAAACCATCCCACTGATTTCCTTGTGCTTTCCTGCCTTTTTTTTTTTTAAATGCACTTGAAGTGCTGCATCTCCACCTCCCTGCTCACCTCTCTCTGCCACATGGCACCCCGGCTGATAGGTTTAGGGCTGACCAAAGCTCCTGGAAAGATGTAGACCCACAGAGCTACTCTCAGAGCAGCTCCAGGCCTGCGGGCATAGCTGTACCACAGTGCAGCACCGTGGCACCGCAGCGGCTCCGCATCAAAGCATGGCTGTGAGTGACGGGCACAGAGCTTGCTTTGTGCATTGGGCCATGAAATAACTTTATCCCGCCAAGGCCAGGAGGAACAACAGATGCAGGCTTTGCATTATCGGTGTTATCAGCCTGGCCATCCTCAGGCGTTTGGGTCAAGTTTCTACAAATTGATGGCTTTCATCAGAGGAAGGCACCATGTCTCTCTCCAAGGATGCTCCTGCAACATGGATCTGACACACACAGACTGAGGCTGAGTTCCTTGCTGCATTTTCATAGAAGCATAGATTGATTTGAATTGGAAGGGATCCTTAAAGAGTATCCAGTCCAACTCCCCTGCAATGAGCAGGGACCTCCAACGTCAGGTAACCACAGCCCCTCCAGACTGACCTTCAATGTCTCCAGGGGCTTCCAACACCTTTCTGGGCAACCTCTCTCTCTGGGGGCCTCAACACCCATACTGTAAAAAACTTCTTACGTCCAATTTAAGATTTTTCTCTTTTAGTTTGAAACCATTTCCCCTTGTCTTATCACCCTGCTAAAGAGTCTACCCCCTTTCTCCTTATAACCCTCCCTTAGACACTGAAAGGCCTTTGTTTTGCCCGCTCCTGCTCTGCCCATTTTCCTTATTTCCCCCACACACAGCCATCATATCTCTCCCAGACCCACCCTGCTTAGACACAGCAAAGCACTCAACCTCTGGGCATCCCCAGGAGACATGCCCCCATAGAACTCAGTGCAGAGCAGCACTGAGAGTGTGTGAACCTCACTTGATGGCCCTGTGGGCTTGGGTAGCCCCAGCACATCACCAACGCTCGTGTTGCAGCATCACCAACACAGGGCAGGCACCTACATGCCCCAAACACCAGAGTGCACACAGTTGTTGCAGCACCGGTACTGTGCTGTACACACTGGGAATACTCACACTTGCGTGGAGTTTTCCTTTCTTTGACATAGCTAGAAATTTGTTGCTGAAAACTCCTCGGATTCCAACGATCCCCTGAGAGACAGCAAAGATTTCCAGAACGCCTAGGACGACAGAAAGCTCAGAATAAATCACATTTCTTTTTGCATCAGCGTGACAAAAATAAAGCAGAAATCTCACGGCTGCATTTCTCCAGCAAAAGGCCCCGCTCCTCAGCAACCGCCTCTGCGCGGCTCTGCTGCTCCTGTGTCCCCAGCAAGCGGCATGACGCTGCGGCTGTGGGGTTTGGTTTATTCCTCTCCTTATTTCCCAGCCGGTTCCTCGAGCCCGCGGGGGACAAGCTGGGGACGGAGGATGCTCTACACACGGCTTGGGCCAGTGCCGACAGATCGCAGATTCGGGAAGCCCTATTTCCCCCCCGAATTTCTCACCTGTTCTCAAGCAGGTTTGTCCCCACCCCAGCCCCGGGAGCCGCGGTTCAGAGGACGGTTTAGGACAGAGAGAGCTCCCAACCGGAGAAACCTTTCTGCTTCCGTGTGGCCAGCTGCCACGGCCCCGACCTCCAAAACGCGGGCAGGAAGGGGCCCCGGCCCCGGCACTCACTGAGCGGGCTGGCGGCGTGCGCGCCGTCCACGCGGCCGTCGGGGTGCAGCTGCAGGTGGAAGCCGATGCCCACCCGGCAGTACAGCCGGCCCCGCCGTCGGCCCGGGCCCGCCGCCGTCAGGGAAGAGGGAGAGGAGGACGAGGAGGAGGAAGGCGCGGAGTGTCCCCCGCCGGGCAGCCGCTCCCTCCGGCCGCGAGCGGGCAGGGCGAGGAGGAGGAGGAGAAAGAGGAAGGCCGGGCGCATGCCGCCGGCGGGAGGAGGAGAAGGAGGAGGAAGGGCGGGAGGAGGGCTCGGCATCCCGCTCCGCCACCCGGCACCGGCGGGAGGGGGCCGCCCCCGCCGCTGGCAGCCCGGGGGGGGCCGCACCTGTGCTGGGCCGAGCAGTTCCCGGCGGTGCGGGGCGCGGCTCTGCCTCGGGTTACGGCGGGCCCCCCCCAGGGCCGCCGGGCCGGCAGAGATTGGGTTGCAGCCTCGCCGGGAGATGACAGCCAGCAGCTGCGGGGAAGGAGCCGGGGCCGACCCCTCCCGTTTGTGGGGCCCCGGGGCTGAACACGGAGCCGGGGGAGAGGGGGTGGCAGCGGCAGCATCCCTCATCCCCAGTGGCCCCGAATGCCATCCCACCTCTTACCCCTACTCCTGCTTCATCGCTGCCCCCACACCCCATGGCAATGGTCTCCCCAGACACACCCCCCATTCCCCCACCTCCTATCCTCCCTCTGCACCCCCAAAGCCTCTGGAGAAGCCCTCCCCTTCATTCATCCCATACCCTTCTGTGTGCCCCACCAGCACCAGAAAATCCCACTGCGGGGCCATCGGGGGGGGGGGGGGGGGGGGGGGGGGGCCCGGGGGTCCCAGGGGTCAGATTCACAGGAAGCACCGTAGGTGACCTTCAGCTGTGAGGAAGAGGAAGATCACGGGAGGAGAGGGGGGAACAACACATGCTTGAGGGTGGCATGCATAGTCCTGCATCCGTATCTCTATATATACTTGTGTCTATAAATAGAATCATAAGTATATATACACACATGCACAAATATATAAGCAGGCAGACACACAAATACGCATGTTACATCCATCTCTATACGTACAGAAGTAGAACTGCCCCTATACTTAGAGGCCATACCTGCAGGAGGGTTGGGCTGCTCAGAAGACTCTTCCTTTTTTGCCATTGCAGCACTCAGACCAGTGAGACCCATTCGTTCCTCTCATCCACAATGGGATGTGAGGCTGTTGGGGATTGGTGCGTGCTCATGGGGCATCCATGGCCTGGAGGATGATTTACCCTTGCGAGGTCCATGCAGCAGGGAGAGGGAAAAAAAAGAAAAAAAAAATAGATAGAAGAAGGTGGCTTGATTCTAAATAAATAACAAACCCTAATAGCCCACTTCCTGCAATAATCCAATTTAATTGCCTGTGGCAGTTGCAGCCCTTACACACACACAGCAGCGGCCTCTGAAGGCTGCAGCTGAAGTGCTGCTGCTGCCTGAATTATTCAAGGCTTGGTTACAGAGCAAACTGCCAGTAGACAGAAAGATCCTTATGGACTCAGTCCCTACATGCCCCATCCATGAGGATTCCGTATCTGTGGGCTCTATCTTTGCCTCTCTCATCCCTAGAGGTCCATCTCTAACCCATTCTTGGTCATCCAGTTCTCATAAGCCCCACCCCTGGTGGTCCTAATGCACTGGGAGCACTGAAGAGTGCCTGCGTACCCCACAGCTATGCCACCATCAGGACTTCAACGAGACACAATGACCCCAATGGACACAGACAAGGACAAAGACCCGAGCAAAACCCAGAGCAGTGCTTACATAAGGAAATAAACGTTCCAGAAGTCCTAAAGGTGCAAAGGAGCCCCCGTTGCACACTAGACATATTTCCCAGCTGCTATCAGAGTGTCACCGTGATTGATAGAAGCTCTGCAGGGATCGTCCCCTCTGCAAGTGAGGCTCTGTGATTTCGGCCACAAAACAGAGAAACTAGAAAAGACGGGGGGAGGAGGAGGGGAAACGACACAAGAACAAAACACAGCACATAAAGTGGAGAGTACTGCACGTCACCAGCAAAGCCGTCTACTCCCCTATAATCTCTCTAGGAGCAGCTCCACCTGAGCTCCAGGGGATGCCCAGGGCTGAGCCACCGCCGCCCCGCTAGGTGGCACTGCGCACCCGTGCACGGGCTCCAACAGACCCCAAAGCATTAACCTTCCCCCCCCCCCCATTCTCCCCCAAAAATATCCCTCCACCATCCCTCAAAATCCCTTAAATTTCCCCCAGATTATGCCCTAAACACCCCTCCCCCCCGAGCAATAGGAGCGCCATCGCTTTGGGCGGAGTTGCTCTCATTGGGATGCAATGAAGTGGTGATTAAAGTGTAATGAAGTGCAGGTGTGTGCGTGTGGGTATGGTGGGGGGGGAAGTTTGGGGGACAGCTCTTTGAGAGGAGGTTTTCATTGTGAAGTGCTGCGCTGGGGGATGAGAGGGAGTGGGGTTAGTGCAACTTTGTGAGGGGGGAGTGGAGGATGGAGGTGATGGGAATATGGAGCGGACTGTGCGGAGGGGGAAAGAAGAAAAAGAAAAAGGGTTGGGGGGGAAGAAAAGGGAAGAAATGAAGAAAAAAGAAGGCGAAGAAAGAAAGAAGGAGAAAGAAAATGCAGTCTGGGGAAGAAAAATAAAAGAGAAAAGTGGGGGAAATAAATAAATAAAGGAGTACTCAGAGCCTCAAAAGCACTGCGCTGCAGAACACGGGGTGCAAACGGTGCTCCCCACGCCGGATGCACAGTGCCCAATATTGTCCCCAGGATCGTGGGAGCTCTACGGCGGCGTTCACATCTCACTCATGTCCCCCTTACAGAACTCGCCCCCACGGACGAGTGCTTCTCGGGGCTGGTGATAAGGGCACGGTGTGGGTCCCAGCCTCCCCTCTTCCCCCAAAGACGCGGGCAAGGCCGCACCCGGGGGCTGAGCCCCAGCGCCACTCGAACCGTGCGTGGGACCAGGAGCGCTGCGGGGCTTCAGGTGGCATCGGCCAGGGAGTGGCACTGTGTCGGGAATGGGGTATGGTGAGGGGAAGGGGAATGGGAGAAGAGAAAATTGAAAAAGGAAAGGGGAATGGGAAAACAAACAAATAAACAAATGGAATAGGTAAAGGGGAAAGGGAATGGGAGAAGAAAATGGAAGAAGGGAATGGGAAAAGAAATGGAAGAGGTAAAGGGGGAAAAGGAATGGGAAAAGGAAATGGGAGAAAAGAATGGGAAGGGAAGTGGGAAAGGAAAGGAAAAAATGAATGGGAAAAGGAAATGGGGAAAACGAAAAAAAAAAAGGATAATGGGGTGGGAAAAAGGAGTGGGAAAAGCGAAAGAAAAGGAAAATTGAGAGGGAAAATGGAATATGAAAAGCGGGGTGGGGGGGGGGGAAGGAAAATTGAATGGAAAAAGGCAATGGGAAAAGCGAAAAAGAAATAAAATTGAATGGGAAAAGGGAATGGGAAAAGTGGGGAAAAAAGGGGGAGAAATTGAAAGAGAAAAGTCGGGGGAAAGGGAAGGGAGAAAGGAAGGGGGAAAATACAATGGGAAAATGGGAAAGGGACACGGGGGAACAGAAAGGGAAAAGGAAAAGGAGAAAGGGAAAGGAAAAAGGAGAAAGTGGAAAACGGGAAGAAGTAAAAAAGGAGAACGGGGGAAAAGGAGAAAGGGAAAGATGGAAAAGGGAAAGGGAAAAGGGAAGCAAAAAAGGAGTGCGGGAACAGAGTAGAAAAGACCGAAAAGGGAAAGGAAAATAAAAGAGAAAGAAAGAAGGACGAAGAAAAGAAGGAGGGAAGGGAGGGCAAAAGAGGAAAGGGAGGAATGGAGAAAAGGGAAAGGGACGGAGGTGCGGAGGGGCGCGGAGCGAGGCGGGGGGCGCGGACGGGCCGTCCCCGCGGCCCCACGGAGTAACTGCGGCTGCGTTGCAGAAAATAAATCATTTATTGTCAAAGCACCCAGCGCACCCAGATAGACTATAAAGTTTAATAAATCTTTTCGGGGGGTTGGGCGGGCCGGGCCGGGCGGGGGCATGAAAAGAAACACGAAACTACCGAGACTCCATCATTCACGGGCACATGTCACACGCGGGCGGGCGGCGGGGACGGGGCGGGAGGGAACGGAGCGCGGAGCCCCCAGCGCGGAGCTCGGAGCCCCGGAGCGGGGAGGGCTGGGGGGGTCCCGTCCGCCGTCCGCCGTCCGCCGTCCGCCGCCGCCGCAGCCCCGCCCGGAGCTCCGTATCTAAAATAAAACCTTTACCCTGACATAGAATTATTCTTACATCTAAACCATAAGTGCTTCATAATTTAAGTAGAAACGTATGACAAATGCATCAATATGTTGCAATATATGACATTTCAAAAAATGTACTTTAAGTCATTTGCTTTCCTTTTTTTTTTTTTCTTTTTCCCGGTTTTTTTTTCCTTTTTTTTTTCCCCGCCTTTTTTCTTTTTCCTTCTTCTCTTCTTTTGCCGTTTTTCTTTTTCCTCTCTTTATAATCTTCGTCCTCTTTTTGCCTTTTGAGTCCACTTTTCTCTTTTCTTTTTTCTCCACTTTCTCCATTTTTTCTTTTTTCTGTTTTTCTCAATTTCCTCAAATTCTCTCATTTCCTCCATTTCCTCGGTGTCTTTTTCTCATTTTTTCTTTCTTCGTCACTTACGTCCATTTTTCTTCGTTATTTCCTTTTTTTTTATATTCTCCACTTTTCTCCCATTTTTCTCCATTTTTCCATTTTATCAATTTTCTGCATTTTTTTTCGATCTTTTATCCGTGTTTCTCCATTTTTTTCCATTCTTTCCATTTTCTCTGTTTTACTCTATTTTCTCAATTCCTCCCCGTTTTCCCCATTTTCCTCCGTTTTCTCACTTCTCTCAACTCTATCCCTTTGGTCCATTTTCTCACTCTTGTCCATTTCTCTCTCTCCCTCTTTTTTATTTATTTTTTTATTTTATTGGTCCGTGTTTTCAAATGCTCCCAAATTTCTTTTCTCTCCGTTTTCTTCCGTTTTTTCCCCAATTTTCTCAATCTTTTCCTTTTCTCCATTTTTACCGTTTTCTCAATTTTTCTCTTTTTTTTTTTTTTCTCCGTTTTCTCCATTTTCCCCTTCTCAAATTCTCTCCGTTCTCTTCCTTTTCTCCATTGCTCTCCAATTTTTCCCCCCGTCCCCTCACCCCCTACCCCCCTGCCGCCCCGCCGCTAGTTGTGCGAGGTCATGTGGCGGGAGAGGTGGTGCCGCTCGCGGAAGGACTCGTTGCAGATGGGGCACTTGAGCTTCTCCTCGCGACGCCGCTTCACCAGCGGCTCCAGCGCGTACTCCTTCTTGTGGTGCGAGCGCATGTGGTACACCAGGTCCGACGTCATGCGGAAAGACGCGTTGCACTTGGCGCACCAGTTCTGCGCCGGGAGGCACAGCGACGCGAACGACGGCGGCAGCAGCGTCAGCGCGGACGGCAGCTGCAGCTGGAGGGGCCCCACCGCGGCCGCGGAGCTCTTGGGCCAGAAGGCGGTAGCGTAGAGGAAGGGGCTTTGCTTGGCTCCCGCCCCGCCGCCCGCTCCCTCCTTGGCGGCCAGCTCTGCTGCGTACAGGCGGCCGGCGGAGGGGCCGTCGGGGCACGGTTCTCCCAGAGCGCCCAGCTTGGGGCCGAGCGGCAGCGGCGGGAAGCAGCGGGCGGGCTGCGAGAACGCGCTTTTCCGCTCCTCCGCCCCGACGGCTCCCGCCGCCCCGAGCTGCGGCACCGAGCTGAACGCGCTACCCCGCGTCGCCGCCCCGTTTCCACCGCCTCCTCCGGAGCGGGGGCACAGCGCCGGCTCCCCCCCTCCGCCCGCCGTCGGGGCCGCGGGCGAGGAGCGCTCTGGGCCGTCCTCGGGGGCTGCGTCGGGCTCGGGGCCGCGCGCCGCCTTCTTCACCTCGACGAAGGCGCTGCGCTTTGCCTCGCCCGTCTCGGGGCTGGGAGGCGCGAAAAGGCGACCGCTCTCCTCGGGGCCGCAGTAGGAACCGGCGGCGCGGAACTGCTGCTGCGGGGCGCACACCGGCTCCTCCTTGGGGGCCGCCGGCAGCCCCGGGCGCTCCGTCGGGAAGCGGCTCCGAGCCTCCTCCTCGGGGTACCGTCGCTTGGTCCCTCCGCCCGCACCTTCGGGGGGAACGTCAGGGCGGCGCGGGGGATTCTCCAGCTCCCGGGCCAGGTTGTGGAAGTCCGTGGAGGGCTTGGCCGCCCCCCCAGCTCCGCCGT